CACCCCCCCCCCCCCCCAGCAAACAAGCAGCAATCCTCAGTACGTGTCAAAATCTCCTCTTTAGAGAAATGTGCATAGGGATAGTAGGTAGGTAAAAGTGACTGCTTCTTTATTGTAGGGTTTATATCACAAGTGCAACATAAGATCATGCTGACCTGAGGCATGGAGGGGGGTCCTTTTGGTGACACTGTCTTTTACAGTGACAGAAGCACCCTGGCTGATAAGAGCTTCCACACACTCTGCATGTCCTTTAAATGCAGCCAGGTCCAAAGCGGTGCGTCCCTTCTCGTCCTTAATATCCAGATCTACTAGAGATTGGAGAAGTACCTCCAGCGCTTGATGATGACCATTATAGGCCTAGAAATACGAAATGTATCATGTAAAGAACACAAGTCTTGTCTTTCAAGGACTTTCACGTAAAATGAGAATAAAATCCACCATTGTCACAGTCTCCTGAACACAGCAGATATCAGTTTTCTTGATTCCTTAAGACTCCTGCAATTGGGCACAGGTGAATCAATAGTTCATTTCTCACATTCTACAGTATCTTTCAGGGAAATGTTTGTTTTGAAAGTTAGATTCACTACAGTGATGCTGGGCAGAGGCTGCGTGGATCATCACCTAACTGTGTGCTAACTTCAACACAGCTGCTGCTCTCCAGCTGAACAAAAGCAATTCTCAAAGCAGATTTTTGTGCAAACACAAACAAACTTGACCTGCTACTCACAGCTGATGCTTCATGGATTATTTCTGCCAGTAGGATCATTTGGTAGAACAGCTACAGTGCACAAGTAGGTGCACTTCCAGACCTACAGCCACATTTGGGCCAACAACGTGAACACAGGTGAGATTGCAGAAAGCCAGTGGACAGCCCCAGAAACTGGAAACACTTCATTCAGCTGTGTAGATTGCTCACCTCTCCTTAAAGACAGACTCACAGACAACATCCTCTTTCATTTATATATGAATGTATAATTAGTATTACTGGAGTTATATAAATAAATAAGTATTATATGAATCATATAAGTATTATATAAAATTATATAAATAAATGAATGAAACAGAAGAGAAATGCAAACATGAAGAACCACGGAGACACTGAATTTCAACGGTAGGTAGTGGTGGCAGCATCTTGCTCCTACTGACCATTGTCAGACGTTCCAAAGAACAGGACAGTGCAGGGAGCAAACAGTTTCCCTGTCAGACCAAGACAACTACTTAAGAAAAGCAAAGGCAAAAGCAGAAGAGGAAAAGCAAAAGGAGATTAGGGCACAGGGAACCCTTATCTCAGTAAATACTCCGACACAGTTGTCAGCTTTTCTTCTTCAGTACAATTTACCTCAGTAAACAACTTGCAACAACCTGATCTTTGACACAACGTGAGGTATCTGTCTTGAAGGTGCCGTGCAGAATGTACAGCACATCCTCTCCTTGAAAGGATAATAAAATTGACTTTTCTTCCTGTTTGTTTGCCTTGTGCAGTCATTTATTCAACCACCACCGTGATCACGCACCGTCGCCTGTGGCACGCTCGCAGGGCACTGCTGGGGTTTAAGCATGCTCCTGCACACTTTGCTGTGTATTTTGTACTCTGCACATCTCCAGGAGAACATCAGATCCATGATCAAAACCACAGGCTCAACCTCTGGCCCCAACCTTATAAAGTAGTTATAAATAGAAGCTGCAACCTTCCATTCAATTTCACTTCAGTGTCTGTGTCTTCCTCTTACCTGGGTATCAGAATCAGTAAGAACCAAACCAAGAGCTTCAACTGCTGAAAACATAATTAACGATTCCAACCCACAACCTGTTTTTGTTACATCTAAGCTTACATCCTTTCCCAGCTTCAAAACAAGCCTATGATTAAACTTGCTTCAAAGACAGAGATTAAGGAATTATTCTAGGAGATACTTATCAAACGCAAGTCTCATACTTACAGCTAAATGCAAAGGACTTTTTGTAGCTGCAGAATCAGATTCCTCAAACATGTTGGTTTTTTCCAGAAGCTGGGGGAAAAAGCAAAATAAAAATGACAGCTTAAAACATCTTTGCATGAGGCAGGGTGAGTTCTCATGGGCTATAAACCAGCAAAGACATACTTTTGTCCTCAGATGTCCGCACTGAGTATTGAAGGACTGAGTATTGAAAGAACACTTCACAACCTTTTCTGTGAAGTAACTTTCAAGTTGTTCCCCAGAGGGTAAAGTGTAAAACTAGTTGAAAAGCTGGTCATGAACATCCTTACCCATATTCATTAGTCTCCCTGAAATCACTGGGCCTGCTGAGGTGAGAGAGAAGCCCTCAAAGGCCCAATGAGTGGCGTAGGGCCCTCAGTAAGCTTACATTGGGAAACATGCAGCTTCAGGGTTACACAGGTAGTGCAGATGCAACCATGTTTGACACAGTGTTCAGGATAATTCTGACACATAATTAACATTAGGGAATAACTATAACTGTGCTACGAGTCATTCACAGTCATTTTTATAATTTATCAAAGTAGAATCTGCTCCTGTAACAGCCGTACGACACACAACACATCCCTGAACTCTTAACCTAGTAACATGCATCACACTTAATGTTCCTCTTAATTTCAAGGGGTCCCAAAGCATTTTAAGGCTTAAAAATCAGGGCATTTCTGTCCATCTACAGGGAGGAACTACGGATCAGTAGCACTCCACAACAGCACATGAACCCTGACAACTTACCCAATTGAGGCTGCAAAGAAAATCACACACAGTATTGACAATTCAACGTTTGTTGAGCTGCACTGCTCAGGTGCGCGGCCTTTTACTTAGTAACTACTCAAAGAGTTAGTCTCCAAATACCTTTGTGACTGGAAATGAGATTTTACAGAAAATCAGTACTAGGAAACTGTAAAAAAGGAAAGAAAAGCATGACAGGTAACCAGAACTGCCTTGTAATGTTCATAAGGTCCCAAGTTAATTTTTCATACAAGCCTTTTGAGGGTTTCTTTGATTTTTTGTTTTGGATTTGTTTGACAGAGGAAGGAATTAAAGGAAATACTGAGGCAGAGGAAAGGAAGTTTTTGTGACAATCTGGACAATTCTAGGGTATGACAACATGGAAGACTCTCCAAAGAGACCAGTGAAAGCCTACGGTAGGTTTGCCTACACTGCAAGATGATGGCTTATCCTAATCTCTGATGTATGCCTGAACTTTTGGTGCAACAAATTAGTCTTTAATAGGCGTCTATCAAGGATTAATTTATCAAAAAAATCAAACTGGAATACAGGCTAGCATTAATAACGCATAAGGTGTCAGAAATCTCTCATTAAACAAGGACACTAATCTGAATCCTATGGAAAAACTAGAACATTAAACAGTGATCTCACTTGTTTGTGTATTTTGTGCCTTGTAAAATGCAGGACTGGGAAAGAAATGTGTGTTGATGCAAATAACACTCATAAGCAAGTGGGTGTGTGCATTAAGAGGTAATATGAATTTTAACACTCCCTGCAGCTAAGGGGAAAAACAGCCAAAACAAAACCAACAAACCAAGACCCACACCAGTTTTTCAGTAAGTTTGGGACAGAGTTAGGAAAAACATTTGGTTTTACCATGTGGAGCCACCTCCAGTTTAAAATACTGTTCTTCTCTTACATAAGATAACTATAAACAGGATGAAACAGTGGCCAGCTCTGATTTTCTCTAGTGAGTAAACAAACTAGAACACAATCCCACTGAACAAACCAAAGCACTGAGCCTGTTCCTCTGCCTGCCTAATCCTGGCCTTTCCTCTGAGTCCATAAGGCCAGCACAGCAATCTAATTTAATCACTGTTAATTGCATTTATCATCATCTGCTGAAATTCCAGGATCAAAATCTTAACAAAGGAATACTTCCCTAAACCTGTCAGAAGGCTCCAAAAGTCTCCTGGAACAAGGCACGTAATTGCCTTTCGAACAGATGAAAAAAACCACACAGAAAATAGACAAAATTAAGGCTCTAAAGGAACAAATTGTGGGATTGGAGAGTCCCGCACAAAAGGCATCTCCATGGCTTAGAGTTAAAGCAGCTTAGGCTGATGCAGACTAGGCTTAATGAGCTTATTACTCATAAAGTTGAATGTCTCCATCAGAAAGTCAAGCGTAAACAAGAGTTTCGTGGCAAGGCCAGCAGCTCTCAGACACACAGCCATGCAGCACAAGAAGAGGAATTATAAAGGAGAGCAAGAGAAGGAAGATTAAAGACACAGCACTAATAATTTTTCAGTATGCCTTGTCAAGCACTGCTTTGTAACGATTAAAACTAAGACATCTGAAGGACAAATATCATGCACAAAGAGACAAGAAGTACCAGGTCCAAGTTACCAAGCAGTTCTCCAGTTTCACCAGTGTTTCTATGTCCCTAAGAATGTATTTATAGTAAATTAAATATATTTGTAAGAACTTGAAGCTGGCCAATGCATTTCAGTGAAGACAAATAAGCATGAATTACTAGTGGTTTATGGTTACTGGTGGCTGACTGGAGAATGTCCCAGCATCTCTCATTGCTAATTTTTTGTGCCACACACTGTGTGTTTTAGCTGATTACATTTCTACATATTGACTGCCCACAGATTTGAAGTGGATGTCAGAATTGTGCAGAGACACTACAAGTGAAATTGGAGGGCACTCCTCCTTCTGGTTAGGTTATAACCTTTTAAAAGGACAGGATACCCATACTCTCTTTCTGCTTCTGGGAAATTCCCAGCATGACCCCTTCGTTTCCCATTAACAGTGTTATTCAGTGTTGTATGTAATTATACTGTGAAGTCTTCTTCATACTCAGAAACAGGAGCTTGAATGCTTTGGGAGTGAGACGCAGACAAAGGAAGATAAAACATGTCAATTACTCACTTCTATTGTTACAAACTAATAGCACTACAAGGCTGCTATTAGGAACTGTCTTCTCTCCCCAGCTCTGCATGAAGATTGTTAACTTTTACAGCTCTCACAACTGTATTTGTACAGTAAAGATATTTACAGGCATAAGAGGATTTACTCCTTGCTTTTACTTACTGGATTTATTGCTTGCTAGTTATAATGAAGGACCATACAGCAGGACATGGTGTGTGTGTGCTTCCCCACCACCTCCCCCCATGTTTTGTTGACTCATATGACAGCTAATGAGTCAGGATACTTCAAACCACAGACACTAGCACTGGGTGCTATCTGAAATCCTAAACCAGAACAGAACATGTGACTCTGTAGAAGCCATCCTGCAGCCGCACAGCCATTTAAGTGCACTGCTGGTAGTTGTGTCAAAGGTTTGACCTAACTACCACCGAAGTGAAAATTACTTTTCTTTAAGAGTTCTGCCATTTTAGTAAGGCAATAATTTCTACCTTCCATACTTCCACACTTCCACACTGCTAATGAAATTCTCTGTTTGGCGCTATTAATACTAATTGTAAACTGGCAAAACATTAGATTACACAACTATAACCCAGAAGCAGCCTTCACTCTGAAAGGTTATTAAGTAAACAGCGTTCAGAAGTTTTCACACATGCGAAGAGCTGATCAAAAGGCAACTAAGACAAAAGAAATAGTTGGGCATTGCCCACCTGCAATAATGGCAGCAATGGAGCTTATCACAAGATCATTCAGAGGTGGGGATTTGTAACGATTTTTAATGTCCCTTTCAGAACTGAATAAAAATACGTCGGGCAGGATGTCACTTTGAATCTCACCTTCCCTAACAAATTGCAATAGATCGTTGTCTCTAGTGGGGGAAAACACACCAGCAGCAGTTTCTTTTAAATAAAGGCTTTTCCAGCAAGTCGCAAGCGCAAGATTGAAGACTCTCATTGGTTGTTTCAGAGGAGATGGAAAACAGTAACAGAATTGACCTCTGTAGTACTTTATACCAGGGAAGCACATTTTTTAATCTCAGAATTAGTCTTGACTGAACGAGTGGTACAAACATATCCTCCTGGGGACAAGCAATCCTATAAGCTCACTCTGTATTTGTAAATACAAGTGATTACATTATTTCAAGTTGATCAGGGTAACACCAATACACACCCTTATCCCAGTGGCGGATACATTTTCCTAAAATCAGGCTTTAAAATTCAGATTAATTGGTGTTTACAGCAATTTCACTCATCTGTGTAGATTATGGGTGAAGTTAAAATAACACAAGCAAGAGAAGTTTCGCAAGAGCTTAGGTAGACCGAGTCTGAAGAAATCTATTTGCTGTACCATGCAGCTCTTCCAGTACAAAGTTTAAATACCCAATACTCTACCAGAACAGACACCACCATGCAAACGGGCCACTTACCTGGCATATAAGAGAAAAATGTTCGAGTCTTTAAACATATCTAAACCTCAAAATTCAAGCAGACCTCCAGGCCATTGGCTGTTCTCACGCAGGACACTAATCTTCTCTTGGAGCTCTTCCACTTCATACAAAATCATTTCATATTAAGCCGTACGAGTGCCATACTCAGTAGGTTTTACAGGAGATTCTCATCCAATGAATGTTTATACAAAGCACAACAGCTCCAAATGAGAGCAAGAGATCCTACCCAGTACCAGCCAGCATAATGTGATGGTCGCTTCATGGGATGTACAAGTCCAATTTCTTTGTCAGCCAGGGCAGAGATTTGAACTTGGAACTTTTACACTTGAATCGTGTATATCATGTTACTTTCTGGCCAGAAAGTCTACCTCTGATGTTCTGTAAAGCCTCATTACATTGGTTCAAGGACCCTCCATTGAAGCTTTTGTAAAATTTCATACAATTGTGTAAAAGAGATCCTTAAAATATTTCCTCTTTAGCTAGAAAATTTGGGCACTGCTGAAATACAGTGGCAGTCAATTCTTAAAATGTGCCTTTCAATGGTATTTCTGCTACTCTCCTCTCATTTGTGCCTCTACACACAAGAGCTTTTTCAATTTAGACTCACTTGAAGACGTGTCATTTACATTTCTTCTCTGAACCACTTTGAAACTGGCCACAAACTTCCAGAAAACAGACAAGAGCTGGTTCCATTTCACATTGC